GGACTTATCTCTCGTTATTGCGTACTCACGATCAAAATCGATCAACGAACTATGATCGGAAAGTTCAACGTGGCAAAGTTAGCTAAGCAGGACAAAATCCTCCTAAGATTCCCCTGGCTTGCTGCACTAAAACCTCAGATCGATTGGGAAGCCAAGACCGTATCACTCCCATCAACAAAGAGGTCGCTTGCCATAGAAAAAAGCATCGACAGAAAGAGACGCAAGAAGTCACTCCCCCCGCTTTTCAGAAAAAGAAAAGAAGTCAGAAAAGAAACGAACCGAACTTGGACAAATTCCAAACTACGGAAGCCGATAGTTGATGAAGAAATACCTAACTATGACACAAAGGACGACGTCTGGTCGGAAAACTTCAAAACTCCAGTCGCAGACCCATTTGACTATCAATTAGCCAGTGACGAAGTACTCGTCGAGTATGCCACTGATGGATCCACCGTACGCATCATAGAAGATATAACCTTCGATACCCCACTCGTTCGAGACGGAACATCAAAAAGAGAACAAAACTATGGAAAAACAAGTAATAAAGCCCAAGAATTCGCGGTTGCAGGAGAAATAGAAAAGCAAAAGAAAACTTTTGAAGAACTCGTCCCTCACTTCCTCCACCAGTATCAAGACGTCTTTGCCAAGGATGGTCTTAACAAACTCCCGCCGGAAAGACCGGGAGTAGATCATCGTATCGACCTCAAACCAGGATTTGTACCCAAGACGTCAAAAGTCTACCCATTATCAGGAAAAGAACGAGAAGCTGTCAAAACATTTATCGAAGAAAACACTAGAAAAGGTTTCATTGTCCCCTCCAAGTCACCTCAAGCCAGCGGATTCTTTTTCGTAGGAAAGAAGAGCGGAGAACTACGTCCCTGTCAGGATTATCGGTATCTCAACGATTGGACCGTACGAAATCAATATCCCCTCCCCTTGCCAAAATCCCTCATTGAACAACTCTATGACGCCAAGTATTTCACGAAGATCGACATTAGATCAGGGTACAATAACGTAAGGATCCACCCAGAAGATCGATGGAAAGCAGCGTTTACCACTCAAGAAGGACTGTTCGAGCCAACAGTCATGTTTTTTGGATTAACGAATTCCCCCGCAACTTTCCAAGCGTTCATGACCAACCTCTGCCAGAAGCAAATAAACCAAGGATGGCTAGTCATATACATGGACGACCTATTAATCTTCTCAAAGGATCTCCAGCAGCACCAAGCACGGACCATCGAAATCCTCGACATCCTTCGAAAAGAAAAACTATTCGTTAAACCGGAAAAATGCACCTTTGATGCGCGAGAAGTAGAGTATCTTGGAATGATGATCCGACCAGGGGAAGTAGGGATGGAACCCGCCAAAGTAGACGGAATCAAACACTGGCCAACCCCGGAGAATCTAAAAGACACACGGTCTTTCCTAGGATTCTGCAATTTCTATCGGACGTTCATTGCTCACTACTCGGATATCGCTCGACCCCTTATCGACCTCACGAAGAAAGACCACCCTTTCGTTTGGACTGACAAATGTCAGAACGCCTTTGACCACCTTAAAAACGCCTTTTTATCGCAACCAGTACTGAGAAACCCGGATCCAACTCGCCAATTCGCAATTGCTACCGATGCATCGTTGGCAGCAACCGGAGCAGTGTTGCTGCAGACTGATGAAAATGGAATGTACCATCCATGCGGTTACCTATCACAATCTCTCAACCCCGCAGAACGGAACTACGAAATCTTTGACAGAGAACTACTGGCAGTCATTAGAGCACTCTCTGAATGGCGCCACTATTTAGAAGGGAGCCCCCACACCGTGATAGTATTCACGGATCATATGAACCTCCTGTACTTCCGCTCCGCCCAAAAGCTGACACGAAGGCAGGCACGTTGGCAGCTCACCCTTTCCAATTATCAGTTAGAGTTGCATCACGTCGCAGGGACCAAATTAGCCGCCCCTGATGCCCTTTCTCGACGCCCCGACCATTCACTCGGAAAAGACGATAACGAAAATCGCATTCTCCTCCCTGATACCATGTTCGTGCGACTAATTGACAATGATTTGTCAGAAAGTATTGCACGCAACTCCGCCGACGATCCCGTCTACCAGAAAGCCCTGGAAGCATTGGACGGAGTATGCCTTCCCCCAATGAAATCCGCCCTCTCAGACTGGACGTGCACCGATGGCGTCCTCTTTTATAAAAATAGAGCTTACGTGCCAGCAGCCCAACGACATGACGTGTTATTTAAACACCATGATCATCCCACTGCGGGACATCCCGGACGATTCAAAACGGAAGAACTCGTCAAACGAGATTTTTGGTGGCCAGCCATGGGAACTTACATCCGCAAATACGTCGACGGATGTGCCTTATGTCAGCAAATGAAGGCTGACACGCACCCGGTCACTCCACCGTTGCGACCGATCCCATCCATCGCCACTCGCCCCTTCTCCCAAGTCTCTGTTGACCTTATCACCGACCTACCTGTATCGGGCGGTTTTGACTCTATCATGATCGTGGTAGACCATGGGCTTACGAAGGGGGTAATTATTTCACCTTGCAATAAAAACATCACCTCCGAAGGAGTAGCCAGACTATTCCTCAAAAACGTGTTCAAAAGATTCGGCCTCCACGAAAAAGTGATCTCAGACAGAGGACCGCAGTTCATTTCGAAATTCTCTCGAGAACTTGCCCGACTACTCGGATATCAGATCGCCGCATCGACCGCCTACCACCCCCAGACAGACGGACAAACAGAACGTCTTAACCAAGAACTGGAAACCTACCTACGGATCTATTGCAGGAATAACCCGTTAGAATGGTCAAATCACCTTCCTATCGCCGAATTCGTCCACAATCATCGGAAACACGATGCCAGGAACACGTCCCCGTTCTTCCTCATGATGGGCTATGAACCACGTGGGATCCCTCACATCTTATCAGTATCAGACACGCCAGCAGCAGAAGAAAGACTCAGAAACCTACAGAAGATACGTGAAGAAGCACTCGCTTGTCATAACATCGCCATGCAACGAATGGCAGAAAGATCTCGCCATGGGAAATACCGACCATGGAAGATAGGAGATAAGGTATGGCTTACAGCCACCAATCTCCTGACATCTTTACCTTCTAGGAAACTTGCGCCCAAACGATACGGCCCATTCGTTATCACCGCAGTCTTATCTCCCATCACATTTACCCTAAAACTCCCAGACCAGTGGAAAGTTCACCCCACGTTCCATGCTTCTGAACTATCGTCCTATCGCGAAACAGAGATACACGGGCCGAACTACACCGAACCTCCACCTGACATTATCAATGGCGAAGAAGAATATGAAATAGAAGCTATTCTTAGCCATAAAGGCACGGGTAAACGAAGACGCTATCTCGTATCGTGGATAGGCTACTCTTCCGGAAGCAACGAATGGATACCCGAGGAGAACTTGCGGAGTTCGAAAGAGCTTTTAACAACATATAAGAAGAGGCACAAGCTAAACTGAACGAACCATTCCCCTGTAAACAAAACCCAAGTGACCAATATGCCCTTCCCCGCATCCACCTACACTCTGCCATACAACTCCACCTTCGAAACCTCCGCCCTTGACTCCAATGACGAACGATACGAAACGTACATCACCCAAGCTGAAGACCTCACCCTCATTGAGGCAGCACTTCTCTGCCCCCAACATGCCATTGAGCTCACCAGAGTTCTCTTCGGAAGAAACGCCCACTCCATCAACCTCCTCATCAACATCATTAGAGCCACCGAGATCATCGAGCGAGTCTGTCGTCTCGTTGAAGACAACACGGTCCGCCACAGTCTCATGCATATGCAGAGGCGCATACGCAACTTTGCTCTGCGCCTTATTCCTGAAGAAGTTAAAGACGATATTAGAACGGTCATCCACATCGTCTCAGAACAAACCGCAGGGGTCGCGCGCCCACCTTCCCCTATGGGCTCCACTAGAGGAGCCCCTCCTCCCTCATACCAAGACGCTGCTCCTACTCTCTCTTCTCACGTTCCTAATGAGCTACTGGCTGCGGTCAATAATCTCGCGCAGACAACGGAAGCCATGTTAGCTTCTCTCAGAGAAGAAAACCGCCAAGCGGTCCCCGTACCAGCTCCTACGGTGGAAACTATCGAACACCCTCCCCATCTTTATACTGCGTTCTCTGCTACCCGCGAAGAGATCGCTGCCGATCCAAACCAACAACACTTATCCTATCATGAAGAACAGGACTTGGCCAACGCATTGGCCTCACTCCACATCCATCCCCCACTTATCATTCCGGACTCGTTATCGACGCATACCTTCACGGATGGAATAGTACCCATGCAAGCGCTGGGAAGAACTCAACCTGCCACTCCTGCTGAGCTAATCGCGGAGGCAGAGCAACGAGGTGTAGCCATTAGGCACCCCATGCAACGAACCGATTTAACTAGGAAAAGAACGCGAGCTCGGCGCTCTGGTAAAGATAAAGGAAAGAGACGCGCCACCAGTGCAGATGAAGCACTTAGTCCTAAGCCAGGCCCATCACCCTTACGAGCGACCTCCTCTAATCCTGATGAAAACCGCGTATGCAGATACTGCAAGACGCTCGGGCATAGGCAAGTTAATTGCCCCGACTACTACTGCCGCGTCTGTCGAGAATTGTCTCCAGGCCATCTTTCATTTTATTGCCCGCACTATACTGGAGAAACCCCTACTTCGCTAACCTGGAAGGACGAAGGATTTTACCAGGCACTCACGGTCTGGGAGAACGACGCCGATGACGCATACGCAGCATTATGCAGAGAAGAAGAAATGCTCTATTCGGAGGAACGTATGAAGGCTGGACCAGAAGACGACTTAGAGTATTCTGATGATCCCATTTACTATGCTAACCAGGATGATTGAATCCGGTGGTTTCAACCCTAGTAAGGGGGTAATGTTACAGTAACATTCAGACCCCTATACTTATTTCCCATTTCACTTCCAAACGGGCCGTCCGTATCATGCTTATCTCTTATCTTGCCAAGCGGGCTGTCCGCCTCTTCTTGCTTCTATCTTGATAACGCACTTACAAGCTCCGCTTGAACACTGGTATATAAACCTACCTACCCACTGTTGTATTCCTTACTTTAATCTACTGGGTTTTACCTGGAACATTGTCCTTCAGTAAAGTCTCCAACTTTACTGTCTAAGAACCACTATTCTAAGGGAGTCATCGACACTCGCCTTAGCCAGAAACCTTGATCTCTCAATCGAGAGCAGACTCACGTCTATCTGGCATTTTGCCGATTGTCTACTCAGACAGAGATACCTCGACTTATCCCAGTCGTAACACCTGCACTTCGAGAGCGTTCGGTGCCTCCTCAGCCTGCTCTTCGAGAGCGTTCGGTGCCTTTGCAGCTTCCTATACAAGATGTGTTTTACGAGGCTCCTCTTATCAATTCATCTGAGAATGCTCGCCCAGATGGTGGCCAGCCTCCACAGCCCAACTTCTTTACAAAACCCTCGTTTCTACCACTGGAACAATATGACTTCAGTGGTATGATGTTGGGTTCCTTCGAAAATGGCGGAGATGACAACCACATTGCCGGCTCATCGACGTTGCTACCTGCTGTGCCTCAGACTTACATCACACCTCCTACTCCGACAGGGCCTGCAGAATGGGAGGGTCATCCTTACACTGACGGCTTTCCCATGGATGATGCTTTCGACTTCCCCATGGACGATACATCTGATGTCGTCCCTGCAGTGAAGGGGCGAAGATTTCAGACAGCGAATGCTGTGCTCCGAGAGGGATTCGTGGAACTCGAACGTATGATTCAAGATCTAAGTAGCAAAACAGCCATCCCCACTCATCAGATCGTCATACTTTGGAACAAGAGCCATGCGCGCTCCACCAGTACTGTCAACCATTGGAACGCTTACAGTAGTTACTTCAAGGACCACCTCAAGGACGAGCTTGCGAGGCTCGGCAGGAGGGCCCCCGAGATTCATGGCACACCAAGTGAGTTTTACATCTTGTGGCCGATGTTCTGTCATTCTAATGCGGTGATTCAAGGTGCCACTGTGCGCCGTAATTGCTATGAACTCTTCAAGGCAGCATTCCCGGACAAGTGGCAAAACATCCTCGAGCTTCATGAACAGTCAGCGATGCTCCTGGGTATTCCTCAGACGGTTGCTATGCGGGGTCAAGAGTTCCACAAATTTGGCACAAAGATCTCTGGCCTTGTGAGTATAATTCCGTCATGTTTTACTATTGTGTTACTGAGGGTAGACAGATGGACTCTGCAGCAGCTCGCTATGGCTTTGAGGCTGCTTTTGTAGCGTGCGGAAAAGTCGTTAATCAAGACGGCTCGCTGGGCCTAGCCCATACGACACCTGGAGCTGAGGGTGTGAGTATTTGTAGGCCACATAAACGTCACCTAATCACTATCTTAATTTTAGTTTTGGAAATCGCGCTGTAGGGCTGATGAAGATACTATCATCGGTCACTTGAAAGCCAGGTATAGTAAGTATTGTCTCGACGTTCCTGGTGACGAAGTTCTCATGTAATCATTAGTAACCTGACATCACTCGGTGTCGTCGAAGAGGCCTTTGATGAAGACAGCATTGGGATCGATGCCAACGTACGCGGGGCTTCAGTCCCCCCTTCAGAATCTCTCGACATTTCCAAGCATGGAATCAAGTGGATCAAGGATGAGTTGCATCGTCAAATTGGTATTTTGAGTGTATTTCATTTGTCGTTTGTTCGCTGACACTGAGGGACAGATGCACTGGGCGGAAAACTAACGTCCAACAAGATTTTTCCGTGGAAGACACTGCCATCGGAGCTCACGCGTATGTCAATGATCATCAAAGGATATCCGGAGGACATGCTCCTCCCAGGTGGTTTTCATACCACCGTAATAAAGGTATCGCAAACCTGACTCTGAAGGAGACCGGCATTGTCATCGCAGCCTTGAAGGCGGGGACCATGAGCATCAAAAAAATTGCCGAAGCTAAGCGAGGTATGTTTTTATTCAATTTCAGTCTTCGCCTGCTTACAAATGATCTTTTTATACAGCTAAAGTCCTCACTTCTGAGTGCCCAGTAGTGGAGGGCGCGCCTCCTGCAGCAGATTCGGTTCATACTGCAGGACGTCGCCTTTTTGTGAATGGCAAATCGGATCGCCTGGGTGCTCTGCGCCTGAAGCAGAGCACAGCTACTTCCATAGTCAAAGGCAAAACATCAAAGAAAGCATCGGCACTGCCTGCTTCCACAACATCTCTTGCTGACGAGTCCGATGACGAACCAAGCGTGTCTGCACCTGTCCGCCCCAGCCTCCCCCCTCCCGAGAATTCAAAGTCGTTAAGTGCCCGACGGGCCAGAAGAAGGTCGACAAGGAGGTCATTTCCTTGGCATCTAGTGATACTCCGTCTGGCTCAGAGGACCTAGATGAAAACCTGGAGGAATCAGTGGTTCTCGACTCCGATTACCAAGATGATGTTTCCTCCAAGAAGCGGAAGGCGAAATCCGAAGGCGCCTCGCGAGCATCCAAAAGAGGTCACCGTCTGTTGCGCCTGCAGAGAAGGCAGTCTCAGCAAAGAAGATGAAAGGTAAGGTACCTGTGAGGCCTAAACCCAAGGTGCCTGAGAGGAGAGCACCGTCGGGGACTGCTGAGTCCTCCGGTGATGAACATATTCGAGATGTATGAGGTATGTTTGTTCCTCTTGCATTTGCTTCTATAAGGCGACTGATGTATATTGTAGCCAAACCTGCTAAACGTCTGCTTAATGGTTCGTCAGCTCAAGGTATGAATTTGTTGACTACATTGTTACAATTTCCATTGACTGACACGATCCTTAGAGCATCCTGTGACTGCAGTCGATCCCATCGTGGATAATGACGTCGATGCTCCTGACGGTAGTGCCGTCAACAAAGCTGCAGCAGAGACTCGCTCGAGCAATGCTGATGCTACCAACAGCCTCCCCACACGTCCCTTGCCTCCCTCGCCAACTCGTCATGCTTCGGTAGACTTATTCCCGGACAACATCGTGCGTGCAGGATCTCTCGCACCAGCTTCTAAGTCGCCTGTTGTGCGACCTCCATCCCTGCAGGCGGGGAATCTCTTGGGCCAGCAGCTAAGTCGCCTCTCATGCAACCTCCATCCCTGCAGCCTGCGACAATTCACGACCAACCCATTGGGCGCAGGGAGCCTGTCATGGGGATGCCATGATCCCATCATGAGCGGCGTACCGAATCCGAGATGGCGGCTGCACCTACCGACGGAGACTTTAATGCCGAGAGTCACTCCATGACGCGGGCGCACGATGCAGACATGAGACCAGGGATGTATGGTCCACGCCCAAGGGGTCCAATGCCATCGCGCTATGGACAAGGCTTTGCTCGTTACCCGCCGCCCGAATATTACCATGACTCCCGTATGGCTCATGCCCCCCAGCCCCCCCATGGTCCTCAGCCTCAGTATCACGGTGATTACCATGATGCTCCCTACCACAATTCTCACGATGGATACGACGGTTATGTCGAGACTTATTGGCACCCTCCCAGCAGTGCATATTTTGGTCCACAAGGCAGATACCAGCATGGGTATGGGCGTGAGTATCCTAACGAGTACCCCAAGGACCAGGAGGATTGAGGACGAACTCCTTAGGCTCGCAGGCCTCATTTTTTGCATTCAGGTGACTTCCTCGGCCGCGTATATATTGAGTTGTTTCGTCATTTTTGGTTGTCGTGCTTGCTGTCGAACGTTGACGTATCTACCGTGTCCTTTGTATCTACCATAGTATCAGCCAATGCAATGTTTTGTATGTGATCAGGCCTCGTTTGACTCCTCAAGACAATCACGATCACGGAGGATTGGGTGCAGAAATGGAATAAAACATTCAAACTGGAATATGGAAGTATGGAAGTATGGATAACATACAGATACGGAGAGGCTCCAGAACACATCCGCTATCACACTTGCTGACATCTGGAGATGCTGACATGGGGAGGCAGGCAGTGAGCATCTGGAGAGGCTGCTATGTTGAGGCTCTCCAGGGAACATACCAGGAGGTTGCGCTTACCCTCTGTGATGAGGCTCTGGTTACATGCTCTCGAGGGATGGCCACACATCCTTGGAAAACTAGGGCGAAGCCTCCTGGAGGAGGGGGTCTCTTAGACTATATATTTGCTACATAATAATAGGGTCTGACGGTATGTGGGAACATCTTGAAAGTGCTGCCAAGGGTGCACCACTCTGGCTACGACTCGGAGCCTCTGCGTCATCCTGCTCCTCCAGCTGGTACTCTCGAATGGCGTCTTCAAAGGCCTTGTTCTCAGTGTGGACCCGGGATGTAGTACTAGCCGATGACAGACCGAGTGATTCAACACCTGCATGAAACTTCGAAGCATGAATGTTAGAATACTAGAGTAATAGTAAGTCAAAACATACCGGCCTACATCATGCAGATTGGTACAGATTCTCTCGAGAAGTTTGTAAGGTGCAGTGCGCTCATCAAAGCGCAGCAGTGAGCCCAAATGATTATTGTAGACAGCTCCATATGTAGCGGATGTGAACTTGATGTCTTCTTTGATGCCTGGCAGCCACTCGTCGATACAACATTCGATCTATGAATAAGACATTGTTAGTGCCCTCATAAGAACTTGAATACAAAATAAGCTCACCGCTGTAAGCACGAGTGCGAGAGCTCTAACAGGAAAGGGATTGAAGTACTTATGGTAGATGAGGCCCTCGTCGTTCCGATTTGAGAACCACATGAGGTTGATGCCCTCTTGGAGCAATTCGGTTTTGTAGACTCCCTTCTTTGACGACCAGTCCTATTATCCAATGTCAGCACACAGTAATATAGATTGTCATCTGCGTACCTTGAATATAAAGGCTGAATCGGCTTTCAACGACTCTGCCCGATCTCGGTTCTGTTGCATCACCTGCATGGAATTACTTGCCCGGAAACCATAAAAAGAACTAGTCAGCAGGCGCATCTTGGTTTTGAGTTCACCTCGCACATGTGATGTGCGATTTAAGAGCTTCATATCAATCAGACCCAGAGCGTGGTATGAACAGATTGCTTACCATTTTGACTGCTAAAGGTGTTATTTTGACATCAATATCTTTAATTTTGCATGCCTCGTGCCAGGCCTCTTTGGCCAAATTTGTCTCGACGGCGACAGAATCAGGAAACGGGGCTCGTGTGACAATCAGACATCGAAAAATTGAGCAGGCCGTTGTGAGAATCTCTTTGGAGATGTTGTCAAAGTCGCTGGCTTTGACACGTTGACGCGAACCGTCCGAGTTTTTCTTGACCTTCGGGACTATCAGGACATCTTCTAAGGACATGTTGAATTGTCGCTTGGTCCCCCGAGCTATTGGCAATGGTTCACCAGTGTTGTCGTCATCGTTGTCGTCATCCAGGTCGGTTGACTCAGACCTGTCATCGTCATCAGCGTCCAAGGTAGGAGTGTCGTCTGGAGCATCATTGAGATGGGCATTGGCCGCATTCAAGTTGCTTCGTGGTGCTGGATAAAGTCAAACAGAGGGATATTAGGATAGTCAGGCTAATATTGATAGAAAACACATACCCTTTTTTCCTTTCGTGTTCCGGTCAGTATTAGTAGGCACTATGTGTGCGCTGGTGTTGCTGTGGCGCCATCTCGGGGGAATTTTGCCTGCGCTGAACTTCAGGGCACTAGTGTTTGACAACTTTGTCTTGATGCTGTGATCGGAGAACTGAATAAAGTATGGTCAGTGGCTCGTTTAAGTTAGGAAAGAAGAAAAAAGCTCAGACCATCATATCTTCTTGCCTGTCGATGTCGCTATGCAGCTCCGAAGGCTCTTGCTCAAAGTTGTCGGGACGGTCTTGATAGGCGGCCTTCAGTGCCTTTTTCTTCTGCTTTTCCGACTTCTGTTCCTTGACTTCTTGACGACGGGTAATATGTTGAGATTCAGAAACTATAGAGGATCATGAGCGAGTAAAATACAATATTTTAGTAGTACTTACAACGGTAGGATTCTTTTTCAGTTGGTCAACGCTCTCGACCGCTTGCGGTGCGCACACTCGGTGGTGCTGCAGGCATTGACGAGGTAGTGCGCGCATTCAGCGGTGCTGCAGGCATTGACGAGGTGGGCTTAAATTTTTGCTGCTTGGAGGCAGCCTTAGTATGAGGTGCCATGGTCACTAGAGCACAAGGTGTGATTAGCGTTAGCAAAATATATAAGACCATAAAACATACAAACAACTCACAATTGAACCTTGATTGTTCGTTGATTCCAGGGCTCGTTTGGCTAAAAGCTGTGTGTTTAATGAAAGAAAGGATAAAAAGATTTGAGCGTACCGTCACAATATTTTTTCACTGTCATGGATACCCTCAATGTTAAAAAAACGGTACAAAGCTTGCTTCAAACACTCACCACACTCTGACGAATCCTCCAGCACAATGTCACCATCTGCCGGTCACAAAGACGCTGCTCGTAAAGACGGGAACTCGAGATCAAAAGGTCAGTTATCCCATTGCCCCTCCCAATTATCGCAATGTACTTACCAGTGGCCTGCAGGCCAAAGCTCGAAGAGCCTGACACAGGCCCCATGTTCCCGCGCCCTCCATTTCGTCAGACTCCAGGCCCCATCTGGTTTCCCAAATATACTTGCAAGCTCATTTTGGAGCGCTGGGAGGCAGAAGTGAAGGCCTGCGAGAACGCCAAAAAATTGCAACTAATAGAATTAGTACCAGGCACTGGCACTCCTAGCCTCTTACAAGCGAGCTTGCGAAGACTCGTTAGTGAGCGCTGGGATGCAGAAGTGAAGCGTTGTGAGGAGGCGAAGGGTGCAACTTTTAGAATTGCTTCTGGCCGCCCATGGTATTTTGAAACTAGTGTAGCGTGGCAACTAGAAGGTACAGTCATCTGGTAAAAATTTACGGCACATGTCAGAAATGCTATGGAGTTGTGCCAGGAAAATAAACTTGAACCTTGTGATGAGGAGAGCCTACCGATATTGGTGAAACAACGGAGCTAGTCTCCATAAGCGATTGCGTTCAGGTGGGTTCTTGGAAGAGCCGGGAGCTAGTCTCCATAACCGACTGTGTTCATGTGGTTTCTTGGGAGAGCTGGGAGCTAGTCTCCATAAGCGATTGCGTTCAGGTGGGTTCTTGGGAGAGCCGTCCACTGCACCCCATGGATCGTCCTTCCAATCAACAAAACCATTGGGATTGCGTTCAGGTGGGTTCTTGGGAGAGCCGTCCACTGCACCCCATCGATCGTCCTCCCAATCAACAAAACCAACATGGATAGCTAGTCTCCATAACTGACTGCGTTCTCAGTGTGCCTAGATTGAGTCCAGGCCAGGGCGCATGAAAATTATTTTAAGTAGGTACATTACAAATCAGAATCGAAACACTCACTCGAAACACTCACTCGAAACATTCACCAACCATGCCCCAGTGCTGCGTATTTTGTGGTAAGGAGTTCCCTACAAGGGGTGGTGTCAAGAGACACATAACTGGCCGCCCTGAATGTAGAAGGGCATGGGAGTTAACGATCGAAGAAACTGAGGCCACCTATGATGAAGATGGCCCACAAGTGGACTTTGCTTACGATGATGTTGGCAGCTCATTTGGCCTGCCGCTTCGTCGCTCACGTTCCAAGTCCTCCGATGCTGATCAAGGCAACCCACCAGCGCTGAAAAGTCGGAGGGTGACCATCGAGGAGGTTTCTGATGAAGATGCTGTGAGAACAAATAGTGGGCGATATTTCAAGGAATGCCCTGATGGTGGACGGACTCTGCGGGAGGGAGAAACTGGTTTTGAGAGCTATCGGAAGTATAAAAAAAGCATGGGTGAGGACGAGTGGGCACCTTTTTGCGATGAGTACGTACCCTGTTGTCTTCATCTCCTCTGCAAAATGATTGATTTCAGTCGCCAGGGAAGAATGGGGACTCGCAGAGTGGCTCGTTAAAAGTCTGGGCCAGACCCGAACCAATGATTTTCTAAAGTTGCCGATAGTAAGTTACACATTGACCGCTGAAAGAATTGGACTTACTGGTGTGACAGACACGAAACCGAATGCAACCATCCTTCCACAACAACCGATCGTTCCTCCAGAAGGTCGATGAACTTCCGCATGGAGCTGCCTGGAGCTGCAAGAAGATCAGTGTCCGGGGAAACCAAACAGACGAGAAGGGTGAACCATTGCATGAAGATGTCGAGCTTTGGATGCGTGATCCTGTGGAGTGCATCAAAGACCTGATCGGAAATCCTCAATTCAAGGATCACATGGTGTACGCACCTGCACAAGCATACACAGACTCTGCGGGACTCAACCGAGTGATTGGTGACATGTGGACTGCAGATTGGTGGGGGGAAAAGCAAGTGAGTATGCGATCCAAAAAGTTAAGCAAAGACTGACCTACAACGTCCAGAAACAGTTACCGAAAGGAGCGACCATAGCACCTATCATTCTTGCTTCAGACAAGACATGTTTGTCACAGTTCCGAGGTGACAAATCTGCGTGGCCTATATACCTCTCAATCGGCAACATTGCCAAAGAAAAAAGGCGACAACTGTCAGCACGAGCAACAGTCCTGATTGGGTACTTACCTGCAGAAAAACTCGAATGCTTTACATCAGATACACGCTCCCTTGCTGGTTACCGGCTCTTCCACCATTGTATGTCCCTCCTGCTGCAACCGCTCATTGCTGCAGGACAAAATGGCATTGAAATGGTATGCGCTGACTCGATGATCCGCCAAGTTTACCCGATCCTTGCAGCATATGTGGCGGATTTCCCTGAACAATGCCTGGTGCATGTTGCAAGGAGAACCGTTGCCCAAAATGTCTGGTTGCGGCGGATGAAAGAGGTGATCCACTGAGTACACCGATGCGGGACCCTCCATTGATAAAAGAGATATTGAAGAAGCGACAAAATGGTCAACATCCAGCTGAATTCAAAGACTATGGATTACGCACCGTCTATCATCCTTTTTGGGCTGACCTTCCACACACAGACATCTTCCTTGCCTTCACACCCGACCTCCTACACCAACTCCACAAGGGTCTTCAAAGATCACTTGGTTAAATGGTGCCTTGATATCGTTGGTCAAGCTGAAATGGACGCACGCTTCAAAGCCATACCGGATTATCCGGTCTTCGGCACTTCAAAAAGGAATCTCGACGGTGAAACAATGGACGGGTACAGAACACAAGCAGATGCAGCGTGTTTTTGTAGGGTTGCTTGCTGGTGCAGTACCAAGGTATGCTTCAAACATGCTTAACAAGGCTCGCACTGACAGAATCATTTTTTAATATTTACCAGTGGAGTGTTGGTGGTTGCACGCGCTATTCTAGATTTTTCTTATTATGCGCAGCTTCGAATACACACAGTTGACACCCTTGATCATCTGGAGAGCGCCCTTTCGGTATTTCACGCCAACAAAGAAATCCTGCGCGAACTCGAAGTTCGAGATCATTTCAATATTCCTAAATTGCACCAACTCTCGCACTACGTCCAGTCCATCTCATTGTTCGGTACTACTGACGGGTTCAACACCGAGCTTCCTGAACAAACTGCATATCGAC